GCCCTGTGGTCTGAATGGTGAGTTGAGTAGGTGACTGACTATTTTTCCCAGCAGCGAGAATCATGGCCATTTCTTCCTCATTCCCAGCTTCTCAAAGCTGCCCCCCTTCCCTGGTCTGTGACGACGGTTTCCGGGCTGTGAATACCCTGGGCCTAAGGCTGCCAGTCAGGTGCACACCACCCACGATGAGCTGGCCGTCCCTGAGGGTTGCGCTCACCCCTCTGTGGCAACTGTACCCTTGGTCCTTCCGCTTCACTGTCACTTAGGCTCCTGAGGGCAGGCAGGTGGCGTGTTCCCTCATCTCCACCTCCTACACGCCCACCCCCCACCCTTCCCCCCACCTGGCAGCCCCGTGTCTGGGCCACGATGTGCTGCAGCTGATGTTCTCGGCTCACAGCAGGGCCTGGGACCAGAGCACGCTCAGGCGTCTGGGGTCAGCGTTGAGGTGGCTTGGCAGGACTCTGTGGGAAGAAGGCTGTGGAGTATCGGTTTCCAGGGCTTGGCTGGGGCTGCCTCCCATTCACTCCTGTCTCTCTAGAGAGAGGACGTGGTCTTGGGAAGCCACATGCGATCTTTGGATCACAACAATGACACGCAATGTGCATAATCTCAGCAGGAGTACGAGGCCTTTGGCTCCTGCGAGGGCCTTGAGCGGTGGCTGGCGCACTGCAGAGAGGTGGCTGGGCAGGCACCTCCCTCTCGCACCAGCCCGTATTCCCTCATGTTGCATGACTGGCCGTGTGAGCTGGGAGCCCTCGGGGGTCACTGAGGTTGCTCTGGGCCCAAGGCTGCCAGTCACTATTGGGGGGATGCATGACCCCATCAGGACCCACCAGTCTTTGACGAGGAAGCAAGCTCTGCCAGGTTCCCCCAGAGACACAGTGATTAGGAATTAAGCACAGGAAAGAAATCCTAGGTGGAGATGAAAATGCTTTCCTGCGGAGGCCTGGGTGAGAGCAAGGACACGCTCCAGCCCTCTGCAAGTAGGCCAAGGTGAGGGAAAGACCGTGACCAGCACTGCCGGGCACCAGACCCAGCACCCACTGAGCACCTCAAGGCCCAAAGTGACCAGGGCACTGTGGGGTTGGTGGAAGGAGACCTGGATTCCATCCCCAGCAATGCTTTTTACCCATGCTCCTCACTGGTGTTTCCACGCAGAAGCAACTAAGCCTTCTGAGCTGAGGCCTTTGTTTGTTACTTGCACATGTCGGTAAGAGTCCTTGAAGGTCTCTCCGAGTCTAGTGTCCTTGGACAAATCAGTTCTCTCTGTGCTTCCAGCAGCTGCCTCTGCTGTGAGCCCTCAGTGGGGGGTGCTGAACGGTGCCCCGGAATCAAGGCCTGGCAAGGGGAGATACCAGAGAGTTCTACTTCTGAAGTCTTTTTCCTGCAAAGTATCCCTGATACTTCTCGTGACAACACCCTGTAAAACTAAGGCAGGTGGGGCCTGGGTCTTTTCTGTTGCATTCAGTTCAGGTTGGGTTTGAAGAGGCCCAGAATGAGATACCTGCCCCTGGCCCCTAGGGAAGGTCAGTGTTGTTTAAACGCAGTGGGGACCCAGGCTCCAGAGAGGACGGGAGACCTCTGTGCCGAGTCTTCACACAGGTCCTCTCCCCTCCCCCTTCTGTTACACGAGGCCATGTTAGCTCCAGTTTTAGATCCCTGGATTGGTAAAAAGCGTGGCAGAAAAGGACCAGGATAACTGCATTTTAGCCTCACCCAATTGCACGCAGCTTTCAGTTTGCGTAGAACACACTTGGCTGGAAGGGAATGAGGAGACCTGTGTTTTGTTGAAAGAAACTAATGTCTCACTATAGGAAACAATTTTGCAGGACTTCCAGTGAGGCTGGGGTGCTCCTTACCAGGTTAGGGAAACGTAAGTTACATTAGAAGGAGAAGTGAGCAATGCTCACTCTTGGTTTTGGCTGCCTGGAAATTGGGGCAGTTTCTCCCTGAAGGTCATTTCCTGTTTCTAGGGTCTCACACTAGGACATCCCCCGGGTTTCTGTCCGTCTTTTGTTTCAATAGGGTGTCTTGTGGGCTGTTGCACACTGCAGAGGTGGTTTTTATTTTATTGTTTATTTTTAATTTTAAAAAGAAATATTTTACTGATGTTCCACTAGGTGACCCCGCTGTTAGAGTTTTGGAGGTACAGGGTCTCCCCACTTTTGGTGTAGTTACTGTAGTGCACCCGCCAGGTCATGTCTGCCAGTCTCTGAGGAAAGAAGAAATTCATCAGGAGGTGCCGAAACTGCCTGGATTTGAATACTTCCACATTAAGCAAACCAAGTGACTT